GGCAACTAAAACGAAGTATTTGTGGCTGTGTTTTACTCCATTTTATATTGTTTATTTTTGCTTTTACCTCCGCGCTTTATCCTTTGAAGTTTACTTGTCCTGGAGCGCTAAAGGATTAACTATCACAATATTGGAAACATTAGCTATGCCCACAGGAACACGCATAATATTTTACGAATGAGTGCGGACAGCTACTTAACTAAAACAACGCATACTTCAACGTTACAAAGATATAATCAGCTATGCTTGGGATCAGCTCCGAAAGCGAGATACTCTGGTTACGATTCACATCCCGTCCCTTACATCCGGAGCGTTCCTTGAGCCCCCCATGGCGAATGTAGGCTGAAAAACATGTGATCCCAATCAGAATTTGTCAGCCTTTTCCCAAACGGCCAGCCAGGGAACCACGAGCGTCCCCTGGGCTGCCAATGGCAAATACGTACCGCAACCATCTTACGTAACTTCCAGCGGAGATAACCGCTTCTGCGTATCACTGAGGTAGTGGACCCACGTACGCAATTATTGGCCAGTTTGGGTTCTACGCAACCATATGAAATATCGGCAGTATTGGGAAAGTCACGCACTTAAGAACGCACTGAAGAGTGCAGCCAGCTCTACACTCAACGTGGATGCCCCCTCCAGGCTAAAAGCTGCCCGCTCCATGCTCAGGGGCTGCACCCTCCAGGCTAAAAGCCGCCCGCTCCACGTTCAGCGGCTGCCCGCTCCACGCTCAGCTGCTGTCCGTTTCATGCTCAGCGGCTGCTCGCTCCGTGTTCAGCGGCTGCCCGCTCCAGGATCAGTGGCTGCCCGCTCCACGCTAAACGGCTGCTCGGTCCAGGCTCCTCTGCTGTTGCGTCGGTTGTTCGTTGTTGGCCGCACCTGTTGCGGCCACGTCCGGCGGGCGCCTGGGGCGATTCTGCGTCGCCGCCGCGCCGCCGGGCGTAAGAGCTGGGGAGGAGGGAGGGGAGGGGTGCCAGGCGGGCGGCCGCGCGTCGCCGCCACGCCCGCCCGCCGCCTCCAGCCTGTTGTGCTCTGGCGTCAAGTGGCGGGTGCAGTGGCCGGCCTCTCGATTGGTTGCGCTCTCGTCTGGCCGATGTGTCCCACTCGCCGACCTCTCTGCAGCACGGTGGCGGCGACGGCGGCGGAGGGTGGCCGCCCGAGGAAGACACGACCTCGGGCCTCGATCGTGGACCGACGGCCGTCTCACGGTCTGCCAGAGGCGAAAGTGGCGGTCGGGACGGACGGTTTGGGAGTCGCGCGGAAATGGGTGACGTGGGAGACGATGGGGTGTGAAGTCAGAGTGAAATGAGCGGGGACGAGTGTGTGAAGGAGGCAGCGGCAATGTTCACACTTTGGCATGGCTGCAGAAGAACGAGTTTAACGAGTGCGACTAGTTTTATTCCAAGCGTTTATTTCAGCCGCAATAGATGGGCCGAAGTGTCACGCTGGTGTAAAGTGAGACGTCATGCAAGAGGCTGACAAGGGTGGTGTCAAGTCAGACTCGAAGGGGGCGTGCGGACGGCGTCAGAAGAAGGTGCCGTGGCCTATCTCTCGGTACAGCTGGCGGGCGCCATGCGACATCTTCTCGGGCAATAGAACGTCGGAAACGCGATGATATAAGACGCTTAGCTGAGCGATTTGTATAGTTTAACGCATCTTAAAGATCAGATGCTAATTTTTGCGCCACTTGTCATTGTGGTGTCTTCGTGCAGCGGTTCGGCTCAGCTCGGTCAGAGAGAGACGTGTAGCGACGCGGCGATCTGTGTTGGACCGAGTCCAGTGGCGTCCTGCCCCTGCCACCCCAGGCAGGCACGACATAACATTCAGTTTTGGTGAACTGCCACTCATAGGCCAGCTTCGATACACGCACCTATCACGCATCCCGTACGGTCCGCCACGGGACGGCGGTCAGCGCCCGCGGCGGTGGGTCGCATTCCACCGCGCGGCCGAGGCCGCGCTGCGACACTGCAGGGACGGCATGCTGTGCCGCCGGGCCGGCTGGGCGTGCTCACAACGCCGAGACGCCGCATGTCTGTAGAGCAGATCCAATCTTTTGGCGGCGTGTGCATTTTGCGAAGCCTTCGGACCCTAGTAGAAAAAGTGATCCCTCAAAAAGGGATCCGTGTCATGTGCGTGGTTCGTTTGGTCCCTAATGACTATCTGGGCTTAACAAGATATACGTACATTAAAGTTATCCTTCTTTATTAAGACAGCTGCTGCGCACCAGCGTGCCATGATCAGCTGCTGATTGGTCCAGAGTGCTTGGTTTAGAGCTGACGGCGCAGTGAGCTGACCGAGCGACGCATCACCAGACTTCCCAGACAGTTGCTGATGGCAGGCCGAGGCTATTGAAGCATCGGCTGGTCGGCATTGGGGGCACGTCCGACCAGAACCCAGCGGAGTGAGCGGGGCCCCCGTGACGGGCGCCCCGTGACGGACGCCTCACGACGGGCGCCTCGCGACGGGCGCCCCGTGATGGGCTCCCCGTGGTGGGCGCCTCGCGACGGGCGTCCCGCAACGGACGCCCTGTGGTGGGCGCCTCGCGACGGGCGCCCCGTGATGGGCTCCCCGTGGTGGGCGCCTCGTGACGGTCGCCTCGCGACGGGCGTCCCGCAACGGACGCCCTGTGGTGGGCGCCTCGCGACGGGCGCCCCGCAACGGACGCCTGTGGTGGGCGCCTCGTGACGGACGCCCCGTGACGGACGCCCTGTGGTGGGCGCCTCGTGACGGACGCCTCGCGAAGGACGCCCCGTGGTGGGCGCCTCGTGACGGGCGCCCCGCAACGGACGCCCTGTGGTGGGCGCCTCGTGACGGACGCCTCGCGAAGGACGCCCCGTGGTGGGCGCCTCACGACGGACGCCCCGTGGTGGGCGCCTCGCGATGGGCGCCCCGTGGTGGGCGCCTCGTGACGGGCGCCTCGCGACGGACACCCCGTGGTGGGCGACTCGTGACGGGTGCTGGCTGCCAGTAGACCGCCGCTCGGATGCTTTTTCAAAGTTCCTGGAGTATGAGGTAGTATGATTTCTGCGGGCTTTGTTGTTCATCGAGCTCTGTTGGACTGTACGACAATTCTTTTGGTTCACCAGACTACGCGAGTACTCTCCGCAAAAGCAGGTGACAGATTATGATACCAATGACAGTGTTGAGGAAAACCAGGGGGGAGGGGGTAGGGGCTGAAAGGTCTCCGAAAATAACCTGTGTTTGGTCCTGCTAAAAAAAGAATCCGCTCCTATTGCGACTCACACTACATGTAACTGATCCTGACTCTGACTCAAAGCAGCAAATCACATCTTTAAGTCCACCGCGGTTTGTACTGTTGGAGATCAAGTCAATAATCGATTCCGGAGGAGTCAGTTTCGATGGCAGACGTCAAGGAGATACTGCGTTGTGAGGCCTTCGTGGGAGCCTGTATAGCAAATAAGGCGTATAATTGGCCATTAGGAGCTAACGTACTTGCGAGCAATGTTTTCAGTGCCCCTTCTGAATCGCATCCCAGAGATGCTAGACTAAGAATACCTATTCTTGCGTTTCCATCGAAGTCGACTCATAAATGCTTTTAACCAACGTGGTTAGCTCAGCTTCGGTTCAACGATTCTGCATTGGCTCGCGTAGCACGCCTTGATTGAGGAGTCGTCTCTGCCTCGACCCGTAGTCAGGCATAATGGTAATGAAGAATCCAGTTTTCCCCGTCAGGTTTCCCGAGGGGGAATATGCGTAGGTGCAGCAGTGGCGTAAAATAAAGATGGCGCCGAAACGGAGAAAAGAATGGTACTCATAAAACATCAATTCTTGCGGGAGGCCGCAAGGATTGATGTTTTAAGGCATGCTAGGGAGGCATGCATGGAGGCATGCTAAGACATACCCTTCATTACTACAAGGGAGGCCGCCAGACCGAGCGACTTCTGACGTCAACCAACCGGGAATTTTGTGGGCCCCAGCGAGCCCGTGGGCCCCAGTGAGTCCGTGGGCCCCAGGGAGCTGACATCCCTGCATCCACTAGTTGTACCACCGGACGTAGTGCACGGATCAGATAGCGGACGACGTCGAGGACTTACCAGCATTGCACCCGTTTCGGTGTCCCCTCCCCGATCCTTGTGTTCTTGTAACCGACAGTTTTTCATTCCCCTGATGACGTTTTCTGCAACGTGTCGTACAAGTCATGCTAAAGATCACGATTGGATGTTGTAACGATGGTTGATACGCCATGTTCACGCATACAATGCAAGTGTGGTCGCGGTGTTAACACTTCTGCACATGCATCGTAGCTGGGTCAGCACCACAATTTTGCAAAGGGATTGGGCAATCAGCACGCCCGCGAGACCCTGCAACCAAAGTGGAGCATTCGTGCTACCATTCAGCCATGAGCTTGAGTTCCTCGCGAAGTGATTTGTTTCCTGATTTCGCCGTATTTCATTGTGATGTGGAAGTTCTGAGCGGCTCGTATTCTGGTAGGCGAAGAGGTCGAGAGCAGGAACATAAGATAGGCGTCAGGCTGAGCGAGTTTTAAATGATGCTCCCAATCTTCTCCTAGATCATTGGTAGCCCGACAAGGGGATCCAAGGTTTTATATTTCAAAGTCCATGTTCTGCTACTCGATATTAAGGTGTTGCGCAACACACATGTAAATGATCGTTTTTGAAATGATGGTGCGATGAGTGAGATGAGATGAGATGGTCGGATGAGATGATTCATGATCACTGATGCCTGTGCTTCTCATTCGTGCCGCCAAATCTGCTAACCGGAATACGACACGCAAACATTTAGCTAATCTCAGAATCAAAACATGAGCAGGCGACATGTGTCCGAGACCAAGCCTCACCCCATGAGGCCCAGCAGCATGCCTTTCCGTGACTACCTTCGCCTCCTGAGACAGGACGAACGAAGTGAGACACCCGCGGGCGATTGTGATCTCCCGCCTGTCGCTGGCCCGCCTCCAGTATCGGCTGGGGGTCGGCACCGCTGAAACACACACCGTTGTCGTTATTTCCAGACTGGCAGCGCGACCGCAGCCGCCGCGTGACCTTCATCCGTGACGTCACGGCTCGACACGCACGTGCCGCTGCATTCCACGCTGGGGCTACGGGAGCTGGGGGCGCCGCCGTTGCTGGCCCGGTCTCGGCCTCCGGACCTGCTCGACTCGCCCCTTGTGTGACGTTGCGGTCCGGCCGCCATCTGGAAACATCATCATCTTCCCCATCACCAAGTTGGCCATCGCTGGAATCAGTGTCAGGTCGTGACTTCCATGCCGACCACGACCTACTGACCGACGGCTCACGTTGGTCCTGCACCGCTGACCGGCCAGACAGCCCCCGTCCGACCTGACCCCAGGTGACTGGCGCTCGTCCGGTGGCTTGAGCCACGCGTCAACCCGCGCCGACGCCATGGACGAGTCCTTCGCCATGGACGAGCCACCGTCGGAAACGAACGGTTCATCCAACAGCACAGTCGAGTACCAGGACATCTGGCCGATGGACAACCCGGAGGAAATGCTGATCCCGTGGATCATCAACCAGTACTTCATCCCGGTGGTGATCACGCACTCGGTCACCTTCCTGATCGGCGTGGTCGGCAACCTGCTGGTGGTCTTCGTGATGGCTGGCGACCGCAAGTCTCGCACGGCCACCAACCTGTTCCTGGTGAGCCTGTCGCTGGCCGACCTGCTGCTGCTGATCGTGTGCGCTCCGCTGGAGACGCTCCACTACTTCGTCATCCAGTGGGACGCGGGCGGCGCCGTCTGCAAGATGGCCAAGTACGCCGAGATCCTGTCGGCCGTGGCGTCCGTGCTCAACCTCACCGCCGTCTCTCTCGAGAGGTACGTCCCGCGGCCGGTGCGCAGCATGTGGTCCGTGCGGGTGTGAGAGCCAGCGTGTCCATGCGTCTGTGGATGGCGTGAGTCGACACGCTGGGTTGTGAACCGCGTTCAGTTTGTGGAAATGGCGAGAAGGGGAATCGCCCACATAGGTTTGGTTTGATCGTATGCAACGTCGTTTTGCCGATGCATGCATGAAGTGTGGGCGGGATGGTCGGTAGCTTGGCCTCCCCTCCCCCCTCCCCCCCCCTCCCCCATTGATGTCGCACAGTCACACGTGCAGCACGTGCGGTGGTGTATCGATGCGCACGGCCTCATCTATGTCATTGAGCTCCGTGCCGCGCGCTGCTGACACGATCATCGCATATGATATCTCGCCCCACTACTCTCTTATATCTCGTTCACGGCATGCATGGCGCGGGGACCATGGCACCTCCTTGTCCGGGGTCAACCACGCCCTCGATGCCGACTCAATGAGACGTCCGTCGGAAAGCGTGCGAGTCGAAGCCGACACGAAGACCTCCCAGGGGGATAAATCTCTGCTGATGGGCTCGGCGTGAACTGTTCCGGCGGCAAATCCCTTGTTGAGGCGTCCAAGGAACCCATTGGACGCGTGCGCCGCGTCTAATGGCTCTCTCGGGTGGACGATTGCGCGCAATCAGCGCCACTGTTGCCTCCTACAGCCGTCGGCAGAGGAGCTGCTCTGGTCACTAAACAGCAGGAGAGGCGGCGGGGGAAGGTCCCTGGACACTTCATGCCGGCGTCCGCGCGTAACGGCACAGCTGCTCGTCACGCGTCGCTGCTGTCGACTATATCCGTGGTGCCTGGTATCCCCTGACGAAATTAGCCGGCAGCTCTCCTACCTACGTGATTCGGCGCACTAATGCCGGGGAAAACTGTCCGCTTACCAGCGTGGTAGCCAGGCTCCGACTGTTTGACAGAAACTAGCAAATAACGCACGTTTGAGCAGAACATACCATTTTAGACATGCCACATTCCGCCATGGCAGCTACAATGGGCTGATCGATGCTGAAATGCCAGGCGGTGATCTTTAAGCCACGTTTCCAACACAGGCGGATTCGACACACGTCACTCACCACACTCTCAAGTTCGCGTAAATTGGTAAAAGTCATGTTTGCCTTTCAGAGGCCAGGCGCACCCAGTTGTTGGCTTCCCAGACGCTGGCGCCGGTCGCTCACTGATCCGCACTCACGAATATGCTTCGAGCACTTACGTTTAATAGGGCATGCTACCGGAACGTAGACAGGCGAGGCACTGAGATGTGCGACCACGTGGGATCCGGTATCTCACTTCCCCAATGCTGAAACGCGTACGCTTGGAACACATTTTGTTTAGTGTTGAGGGAGTGTCCCGCCTTAAAAGCGCATTTAAAAAGCATACTCTGGTCAAACCTCAGACCAGTACGTCTAACGAAAGCGCTGGGATGGCCACTGAAGCACCATAAAGACAACCTGAGGAAATGAGTTGCATTAGTTTTGAGTCCCAATAAAGCTGTTTACGTTGTGTACAGCACTACATTTCGTTTCTCCTGGGTCGCCCTGAACCGTAGTTCCAGTCCACGAGCTTTGCAGTTGTTGCGACTGCCGGTGTTATGAAACAAATCCTGATGGTCGATGTCAGCTGTTACAGGCTAGAGGTGTCATTTTTGGGCTGTTTTACCCGCACATTATGGGACTGCGGACTCAAAAGTGGTATCTCTACTGGTATGAAAAATGTTAGCGCAAATGAAGGCTTGTAATTGTCGCAGCGGGCAGCGAAGACCAGTTACCGAGAAGCCATTGGTCGAGGTTTGAACCCGTGCATCCTATAGGCTATATGGTATATCTGTTTCTCAGAGCCAACGTGCGTTTTGGCAAGAGCCACTGTGTAAAACACCACTGTGCGCCGCTGTGCCACTCTGCTAGGGAACACATTAAAACCATAGTATAATGTTCTGTTGAATTCGTGTGACAATAGCATCAGGTTTGTTTCCATTTTCTTTGAATAATTTCACTTGACACCGTGTTTCTAGCTTTCAAAGCGTTTTCAAGTTTTCATAACATTTATTATGCAAGTCTTTTGACGAATTCGTGTGCTGCAAGCATTACCGACCAGTCAGGTTGAAAAGCAAGGAAAATGAGAAATATTTCATTCATAGTAGTGAGCAGGGAGTTCAAAGAGATTACACCGACGGAGTGGCTACTTCAAATATAAGTTCTGATTTATTCAGAAGACTTTTGAAAAGGCTGGTATTGCCAGTCAAAGAAGTGAAAAGCATAAAATAGGTGGTATGCTCCCTTTAAAGTGATCGCATTTCCGCTCTTGGTATCTAGTCCTGGTAGCAGTGCGCTTTGTATCAACGGTGACGTTTGTCGGTCTGAAATGCATGTCTGCATTAGCTACTCCGCGTCTGGGAAACCAGATGTGCGGGGTTTGATTTCCTGTGGCGCCCACCCTTTCTGCTAGGGTAAGAGGCAGGCGACACCATGTAGTCTCAGCAGCTGAGGGTGTTATAATGCCCCAGTGACGACTAGGTCTGAACTGCTTGGCTTAGGATGGCATACTTTTTTACTTGCATACATGTTTCCGGATGCTTCCGCGTTCTCGTTTATGGTTTTAAGATGAGGTATAGCACAAATTGAAAATCAATAGTGATGAGCCCTCCGGCAAATATGTGTTATTATTGTCGATATGATTGGCTGTAAATAACATATATTTTCAGCTCACTTTAGAAGCTCTCTGATCCATTATATTGCATAGGGCAATTGAACAACTTTCCCGCTAGCTTACGCCGCCCAGGTTCTGAAAACCTTACGTCAACTTAAAGCCGTTAACGCCGAACGTGGCGAATTTTACCGAGGCAGGTCATTAGAACACCCGCGCAGCCACACAAATGAGTGGGTTGCATAAAGGCTTCCAGCTACCGTTATGCCAGATGGTATTTTCTTTATAAATTGGGGGAATTCTGAAGCAGGAGATGATTCTGCAACCTTGGAAGATGAGAAGAAAGATGACTTCTTAACCGTGTGCACCAATTGACGACGAGAAAATAGGTAAATTCTTAGCCAAGTTTAACGTCACAGGCTCAGCGTGATTTGCGATGCGATTCGAGCGAATTTACACGAAGCGCAGAATGCGACTTTTGCAACCATCTGGCCAAACGTGTATTTTCACACAGTAAGTTACGGGATTCTGGGTTTGGATCGCATAGATAAAGGTGCCTTCAGACACTTTTTTGTTCTCACATCGGAGCCACTTCATTGGGATGTTCGAACGAAATTGAAACATTTCAGAATTTCATGGATGGAAAAATCGTTCAGACTATCGTCGTCGTGTGGTCTCCTAATATGTACACACCGTTTCACGGAGTTTGTGCACTGAAACTTAACAGGCAGAAACGTGGTGCACACATTTATACGCCGGACGAGAACATTAGTCCGAACCAGCATTCCATCCGTGATACTAACGCTCTTCTCCATTCTTCCGTAAACCATTAATTTGTTAATTTTGAGTTATTTGCGTACAGCCTTAAAAAGCAGAGCGGTTGAGGCCAGGAGTGCTCTTGGTCGGGTTTGTGGAGATGAGGGCTGAGCTACAGGGAGTCGAGTCCGTCGAACTGACTGAGATCCTATACCCCTGACTCCGTCTGCAACACTGTCTCCCACGTGGCGTGCGAACCAAGACAGACGGCGCCCCGTCACCGCCCCTAACGACGTATTTCAGCTGCCCACACCAGGCGGCGCTGGCCTGACCGCCACAGCCAATCAACGCCATGGCAAACGTCCAATGAGCTGTGCTCTTCATAAATATAACGTTAACGTTCCACACAACAATAATCCTATTATAAAGCTCCTAATGTCTGCAGCGCGTTTTCGGTTTTGATATCCGGATAACGAGCATGAGGAATTGCGTTTGGCTTCGTCCCCGCAGCAGGGTCGATCGCTCCCTCCCGAGTTGTCGGCAGGAATTTCCCCGCGGGCATCTCGGGGGGTTCATTCGACCCAATGCTCTTTCCCGCGCTCTTTGAAGTTAGGCCGGGGTTTCAATCAAAACTTTGATATAATGCACGTCTACGGCTTCCAAAGAGCCCCTACACCGATCTCTGACTGCAGCACCGCCTTGTGAGCGGCCACCGAGCGTGGCTGCCGGTACCATTAGCCTCGTTCGGTGGTCGCGTGGATGAAAACATGGCGGAAATAAGAAAACTAAACCGCGAATGATTAATAGCTGCATCAGACGCACACAGCCTCAAACAGTTCATCCTTGTTAGAGATAAATTTCCGGAGCAATCAGAGCACACAAATTCGACAACTATGGCCTTTGTTCATAAAACCAAACGACGCTACACCCGTGGGGCGCAGTGCGATGCAATGGTGGCACGTTCGTTACGTGTCTTCCATTGCTTCGACGTGCGCTAAGACAGTAGCGCTGATTGACCGCATCAGACGCAGTTTGGGTGTTCGCCTCGCTATTTCGTTCGTTGTTCGGTCGCATAGCTGGTGTTGGTCACTGCTCGACATGCATAGTATGGAGCTCCCAGGGTCAGCAAGGTCGAAAGCACCGCCCCCTCTCCCTTCTAATGTGCCGATCCAAGCGCCTGCGGTTGATTGCTCCCACATTCAGTCGCTGCCCTCTGGCCTCCAACTCTCAGCCGGCCTCCCCAGGAGGTGGTCCATTGATCGCCCTCCGGGGACGGCCCCCTGCCCGCCGCTGGGCCCGGCGCCGCTCGGCGGATCGGTGCATCGCCGGTGGCCGCCGACGCGGCGCAGATGGCGACGGTCGTCACGGCGCCTCGTCGGTCGTCGTTCGCATTCGGGGGGAGGACGGATGCGCGTCGACCGACCGTGTCGGCCGCCGGTGGCGCGGACGCGGCTCAGCGCCACCAGAGGGCGCTGGACCGACGTGGCACGATAATGACTGGGCACGGCCCTGGGCGTGGAAAGATTCAGTCGGAACTTGCCGGCCGAAAGCCTTCGGCTTCGTCGAGTCAGGAGCAGGACCCC